TGCTGGAGGTAGTTAGCAGCATGCAACGCGATCCACTTCTTCGGGCCAAACACAGTAATGAGCAACTTTTGATCCATCAGTATGGTAGACTGACGGTCGTAGCGCATTTTATGAAACATCTTGACGGCAAGCGTGATCACGAAAGCTTTCTATTCTATCTGACTGTAGTTGAGCATGCCTGTTGCCAGGGGTCTGGCCATATGTGCAACGGATGTTCTGGATGTTCTTGGAAAATAAATGCCAATTCCATAGTTTGAAGCATCTGACTGCACAACGGTTTCCAATGATGGATCAATATGGGTGAGAAGCGAATCGGAACACGGCATGTATTTGATGGAGTCCAAGATGCACTGGCATTCTTCCGACCATGTTCACTTGTTGTCCTTGGTAAGCAACTAGTTCGGTGGACCTATGAGGCGATACACGGCAGGCAGAAAGAGCCATTGTGGCCTACGAGATAGAGAAAGGACATGAGAGATGTTACGTCTGCGGGTGCTGGCATGTGTTTGGTGGCGTCCATGTTCTCCGGGTCTGGTCAACGACCGTGTTCATCAGTGATGAAACCGAGATACTTTATCGACCGCATGGTGAAGGTCAGCGCACCCCTGCGTGCACTAAAAGGGCGCGCCGAAGACCTTTGTCCCGCGAACACTTCATGAACATCCTTCTACCTAGATTTCAAGTTCGCTAGTGGCTGTCTTTTCAAGACTGAACGTGAGGTCTCCTCAGCATCAGATGCCACTATTGGGTAGCTCGTTTTTCCTTCATTTCTGCTATTCACAGGAAAATCCGTTAGTTTTTCTGTTTGCGATGCCTAGTATACTTATATAGTGTATTTTTATTCCCGGGCGAGACTAGGTATCGTGAGTCCATTAGACGGACAGTTGCTCCACATCTTCTGAAATACCTTCTGAATCTCATGTAATAGGGTCTTCGAGGAATATTTTGAACCTCATTTCCAGGGGTTTTCGAGGCCTCCAAACTATTTTTCGGTTTGTTTGAATGTGTGCTCATTTCATTGGAGTGAAGGCTGCATTAACCATGTGAACTTTCATGACAGCGGTCCTCAACTGGGAATGGTGCACGTTAAAGATGGTTACAGAAAATACACGTTTCTTAGACGCTTGAATGACGAATTGGGGTGTAGGTCCCCTGGCACAGTAGAAGGTGAAGTCGAACAGCTTCACGCGTTGATGATTTTCCTGTGAATGCGCCTTAACCGTCACTTGATCACTGATGTTTCCTTCCCTGAAGAATACGAGACCCAGGCGGGATATGTGTGCCACTTTTTTGGGTAGATTGCTCGCAGTTATTGTTCAAATGCAGTCAAATTTATGCCGGGCATCTTGTCTCCGCCTACCTCATTCGTGATCTCACCTGCTTTCCGGTCTTTGGCCGCGTAAGCAATCCGTAAATTGTTTGCCACCCCGCTTTTCCAGATTGTCACGCTTCCGGAGTAGAAAATCATTAATCGTGCTTGAATGCCCTTCTTGCGAGTGATACACGGTCGTTGGGTCGTGAGGTACAGGGTAAGGCATGGATCCATGCGGCATACTTCATTCAGTGTGCTGCGAATGTGACCAAATAAAAGTGCACTGCACGGCATTTTCTACATGCGCCATATCATGGAGCATCTCGACTACCCGATAGTATACGAAAATGGAGTGTGCACTAAATTACTTTGCGGCGGAACACAACTGATCGCTCGTATTTGTGCTGGCAGTTTATCAGTAAAAACTTTACATGAAACTGTTCATCATCATCATCGTTCGACAGTATGACATCAGTTTTCGACGCCGACGCTTCACTGCCGTACAACCATGATCTATTTGAAAGACCTGTTGTGGATAACATAATAAAAGTGGACGAGGAAAGGACACAATGCTTGTGCGTGATCAGAGTCCGCACTTGAAACTGTTGAGCATTTATTTTCCAAATTGAAGTAAACAGCTTACGCATAGGAACGAACCGCTAACTTATCACGGAGGCCTTCATGCTATGAGGCTTCATAACCATTCACTCTCTGATCAGAAGAGTGCAGCGCCTGCATCTACGCGGGCCAATAATTTTCCCCAACGGGATTCATCCAGGTCTATTATTGAATGTATTGTACCAACATTTACGGAGTCTACGAAAAATCGGAACAACGCAAACTTCTTGCCTTGACAAAGCGCGTGTGTCTGCAATGCGTCCCTTCCAAATGTAGCATTAGTGCCCATCCATACTGGTGAGGCTTCGCATGAACCGAAGACGTGTCATTTGCCACAATAAATCCGAATCATCAGCCACCTATTTGGTGCAGCCGGTGGGCACTTCCGCGATAATTATTGTGTCGTGGGTGTCACGGATATGGTCTAATTCATGGGCAATTTACCGTCGTAATTTGTACAACGGTGTTTCGCATTTTAGGCACTCGACTCCCATTCGCCCGGCTGCTGCCTTACAGAAAGTCAGTTGCGCAGAAGCTGAGTCAAATTATGGTGTGAGGTGACTAACTGATGGCTTCCGAGACTTCCAAAATAAAACTGTACTGGTCAGTCGATGCTTTGCGTGATGTTCGTCAAGGAAGGTGAGCTCAGTTTTTTCCCCATGTGCCCGTTCGAATGCATAAATGCTCAGAACCGTGCATCAATCAAATTCTCAAAAGAAGCCCATGAAGTTGACTTCATAGCCTGCTGAGCCATATCAGTGTATCCTAACACTGATTGTGTGCCAGAAAGTACGAATAAGTTTTAGTTTAAATAATTTTCCACAGAAGTGAGGCAACCCATTCTGTGTTCATCTCCTGATTGATGAAAATCACTTAGTTTCCTCCCTCCAACCTCGGTGGATCACTGACCGAATACCTAGATGCTCTCCAGGTCCAGATCGCGAACAGCGTACCAAACAACTTAATAAGCCTTTTCGATTCATTAGGTGCGGAAGCACTCGTTCTGGTATCCGGCTCATCGGTGAGCTTATCAATGAAATGGCATAGGAACATCAAAAAGTGATCTAAATGAGGTTTAGGATATGGTACTGACATGCAACGAAAGACTAATCCACGTACTGGTTACATGAGATGAGATAAGCTTTTCCCTCAAAAATTGCCTCCCCAAATCATGGAAGGCATCTTGTCTAGTGCCGTGTTGATGGCCATGGGAAACTTCAGGAGAATTAATCAGGTGAATTTATTCACCTGCCTTTCTTGCTTAGAGCGGCTGGCGCGTGGATCGGCCTTCCCTTCTCAATTCCGCAGTGTACACAAAAAAATTTAGGTTGCCTCTGGATGTATGTTATCCCCGTGTCCTCGGAGAGTTGGTGCATGGAACAACCTTTCTTTGACAGTTGTCCACGCTGCATTTTTTTACCAAGTTCAGAGCAGGTCTCGACGCTTTATAAGGTGAGTCTTGGAGCTGGCTAAATTACATCCCTCGCTGAGAAATTAAGGAACGGTGTTGCACTTTATTGTCGCCTGTGCCCTTAGGGAGATGGGATCCTGCTTAAGGACAAGAACCAGTCCGACCCGGGAAGTTTGGGCGAAATACTCGATCCTCGTTTTCACTTCCTGAATGCGTGAAGCTTACTTCCTAACGCCGGAAATCTAAAGAGCTATCCTATACTGTATTTTGATTTGTGCTTTCCAAAGAAAGAAGAGGCTCCTGGACGACGAAGTGCTACCCGTTCCCTGAAGCTTGAACAGTTGCTTAAACCCTTCGCATCATCCTCAGAACTCAGTGAACTGAACCTCTTTGTTTGGTTGCTCTATTTCACCGCAAACTCTTTATGCTCTCGTACGGCGCCGGTCGGCTTGAGGCCTCAGTCTGCCGTTCTTGTCTTTGTAGTGCGCGCTGTGCTACTGAGTGCGTTGAGTTTATACAACTACGAAGGGCAAGAAATATCGGTGGTATAATGCAGCGAACACCCCTCCAAAATGGATGTTGAGTGATGGCATACAACGCCAGTTTTCCAATGCGCCCATAATTTTGCGGTCCAGATCGTGATGAAAGTGGAAGTCGTCCGTGAAGTCATACTTGCGTGCATGCACGTACCAAATATAGGATCACTTCCACAATAATATCGATGTTCACGATCTTATATACTAGCAGAGTCAGGCGAGTGTGGAGATAAGAAGTGAGAGCATTTTCAATTTAATTAAAGTAATATTTTTATCATCTGAACTTCTTTGTTAGCAGACTGGTGAAATTTGTCGTGTCGTTCAATTTGTCGTCACATAAAACTGTTATTCGCAGTTAAGGCTTTTATTTCGTATTGAATTCTTGTTTTCAGGAGCTCCACATACGGCGTTTTGTAAAATGCGGAACGGCTGTAAATCAGAGATCCGCTAATGCAACATAATGAAACAAGCCATCATACTGGATCTCGCCGGGAAAAGCAAAAATGTGCTGTTCAAATACATTAGGCATCGCCACAGAAACAAGCCAATCGCCTCCTTGAGGGACTGGAACGGGAAACCCACGAGTAACCCAATAGTGCTGGAGTCTACCTAATGCAACATAATGAAACAAGCCATCATACTGGATCTCGCCGGGAAAAGCAAAAATGTGCTGTTCAAATACATTAGGCATCGCCACAGAAACAAGCCAATCGCCTCCTTGAGGGACTGGAACGGGAAACCCACGAGTAACCCAATAGTGGTATCTGGAGTCTACAGTGAACACTAGGCAGGCCTGTAATCTGCCTTAATGTCCTGGTCACACCCAATCTTGTCAAGGCACAACTACAGACAACCCTTAATCAACTTGGACTTTACGGTGGACACTCATCAACTCTTGCACAAGGCAACCCCATTCTGCGTGTTGGGGCCATACTAAGTCCAGCAAAGGGTCCTGAAGCTGATGTCGTTCACACTGGTCAAGCATTTTTACCTGATGTTTTGTCAGTTGCTCGATGAAGGTAACCTCACCTCTTCGTGGAAGGAAGCGATTGTCATGCCAACCAAAAACAAACACTTGGTCAGCACTTAAACACATGGAACTGCTCAGGTGGCCATCTAATTCGAATTGTGCACAACATGCATCAAGAAACTGTCACTAGGAGATCAGATGATTTACGTACCAGTCCAGTGAATTTTGAGGCCCTCCTTTAAACTTCGTTCACCGGCTACTAGACTTCTTCATACTTTGCTCTTTCGTACATAGTGTGCTCATTCAAGAACCCCTTTTAAATCAGTATGAAAAGCCTCTTGCTCAAGGTTGCACACGTCGGGGAACTGCTGGGGTCACCGTTGACATGCTAATTGAACGTCAGTAGCACAATTTCGCTTCACATCACTGGTTCGAACGCAGGTGCTGAGTTCGCGGCACCCGTTCGTTTGGCATATACCGCACTATCAAAGCACTTATTTATTGCGGATTTTCAAATTTTTTCAACCTATACATGGCCTCACCATGGGACGTCATCGCCCCTTTGAAGTCACAGGAAGGCTTTTTGGGGTTGGGGAGCTGTAGTTGCATCTGAGGGAGCTGATGGAGGTACATAGACAAGTGATCCTCATCACAACTGTTTCAGAATGATTCACACGTTTGCTTACTCACCAAGGTGTGTGTGTGTGTGCGCGCACTATCTAGGTAGGGTGTCATTACAGATTTCCGCATGGCAGGGCATCCATTTGCAACCTACTACACTGCTCTTATGTATTACTAGGTCAAAAAGCTATCTTGTCTCGATGGTAAGGTGGGCTGTACTGGCTGAAACTCGGTTTCCCAAGGTCCAACTACGGGAATCAGGTCATGGAGGGGCAGTCAGACCAAGGACATCAAGGACGCTACAAATAATCGTTCTACGAGGCGGCTTGGGGGCAGTCTGCGATGGGAGTGTGAAGGCATTCAGGTGTTTCCCCAGGGGGCCAGCATTTCCATACTCATGTAAGCAGCGATGCTGCATTCCCGCGATTAAGGACTGGTAAGAAAAGGTCGATCGCCCAGCGATTGACCGTGACCGCTGGTGCATTATTTAATACTACTACTTTTGAAACCACGGAGTCTGGTGCTGCCCAGAATGCACCTGCTGTGCGCAGCCACATCAGGAATGAGAGTAATACCGTACTCCCTACACCCTCAGATTAGGCCAACTCCCTACAGCCGAACAGGCCAGACTATTGAGTAATCGGCTCCGGGAAGGGTTCTCAAAGATAACCATACTGCCCGTTTTGTCGCAGTTCAGATTTTGCGTCAAAAACTGAGATGAAGTCCCTGAACAAAATCCTATATCCTCCCAAAATCTCGTGAATCAAAGATTCAACCAACCAACCAAACCATGTTCTGCAGCCTGGGTAGCCGGGAACTGTCATTTACCCTCAATGTTCCTTCCGACGCGTCCTTCACCTGATTTTAACTTCCGTTCTCTGTCAAACTGGGCGGCTGTTACGGTTTGCTCACGCAGCGAGCAAACAATATTATATGCGGATTGTGGCAATACTCTATCTCCAGCTATATTGCTTGATCCAGACTCTTTAATGATCCAAAAACACGCGATCAACAGGCGATGCCCCGAGCTTCCGAACCCAAGTCAGTAAAAAAATGGTGTCGTGTAAGTGGTCGGTCGGATTTAAATTTCTTGGAATATCAATAGGCCATTGATTTATTCATGGGTTGACCTTGAAGATGCCGGAAGTTCGCCAGCACACATAAAAATACAGCGTTTCTTTGGGGGATATTGATATCCCCAACAGCAGCATATAGCTCTTGCTCAATCCTTGTCCTCCTTCCGATTGATATATGTGTCTTCGAAACACGCATGGAATACCCCGGTTCGCATATACCCCTCAGGTCGAGTCCAAATTTGTCTTGTTTTACTCTTCCAGTATCTGGTACCATATGCGAGATGGCCAAAGTGATTACAGCGCGCGTTTGCTGACCGGAAGGTCCGTGATTCGAACCCGGCCTCTGCCTCTCGACCTCCCTTGTCTAGGCTTGGGCAACTTGACAGTATCCCAGCCCTCGTGCAACCTTCGGGTGGCATGGCAGCTAGGCACCGAAAGGGTGCTACAGCTGAACGACGGTACTATATGCAATAGCTCGCGGTAGTTCCGGCCTGGGGATTATGCTTAGCATGAGGGCTGAATGCGCCTCACTGGGATTTTTTGTAAGCATTTTCTTTGCGCCTTTAGGCTGACTAGTTTAATCAAACTCAATGCATGTCGACACAGGAGACGGTTTTTCTTGCGTCAGCATACGCTCCGAGAGACGACAGCTCAGACTGAGAAAGACAGCTTCCAGAAAGGGTTGTCACGGTTGTTTTTGTCATCGTGAAGTCCCGGTATTGTGGTTATGACAGGTGATATGAAGCCCATCTTGGTGGGCAACTCAGGACTGACGCTCACCGCATACACAATGGGGACCTATTTCTTCAATGTGTTAAACGTCATTCGTTTCAATCCATCACAAACTTTCAGTACAAGCGCTCACACCATGTGACTTGGAGGTCACCAACTGCAAGTCAACCATGGAGCCAGTTGGACCATTTGCCAGTGAGTGGCTGGTGGAAAGCTCTAGTCTCGGATCACGGCATTTCGCGGGTGCATGTATCTGTTTGCTCACCCTTGGAAAAGGCCGTTCAGTTCGTCGCCTGCAAATCATCTATGTAGCGCAAGTGTTAAGTTGATGTAGCTCAAAAGTTTCCATGGCTAGTGGGGACGATGATTGTACTGGGGTTGGATGGGCAATGGAAACAGATTGAAGAAACCATGTCTGGAATTTTCAAAACCGCCTGTCCGAGGTTGCTGACAGAAGCCAAGAACATTGAATCCGAAGGTCTTATTGCAGCTGTTATTCATAGCACTGGTGGATTGCAAACGTCCGAGAAGTGGAAAAAGCTTTTGCGTTGGAGAACAATCTCACACAGTTCCAGCTGATAAGATCAACAATCCGAGCCGGCTTATTGCTGGTGAAACGTGCGGTACCTCAATCCGCAGTAGCTTCGTCTTGAACAGTGGCCCGAGCACTTTGAAAATCAGTTCCCTTGCCCAATCAACTCACCTTGGAGGACCGACTGAACTGACTGAAGTGTGATCATCAGTCGGCCGTCGTCGACGGAAGTGCAGCGTTCAATTCCATCTTTTCAGCAGAACAAGGCACCTAAACCAGACGGCTTGCACCCTGCACTTCTCCAGGGTGGCGAGGCCGTCGTGGTTGACCTAACGACGCTACTCCAAAATATCGAATCGGGAATGAAATTTGACAGGATGTGATGCCTCGACGGTGATTCCCGTATCCAAAGAAAATGCGAAAACCACCGGGTCATTAGCCTTGTAGTCTTAGTTTCCACGCTGTTCTCTGGCATTATCCTGCGAAGCAGTCAGATTCGCAAGAGCCAAGCTCGGGTTCTCGCTGGTCGAGTTTGTACGTACCACATCTTTACTCTGCAGCAGTTGCTGAAACTGCTATTTCCGACGACCCAGTGGTCGTCTTTCTGAATCTCTTGTCTGGTTCATACTCAGTTGATTGTCTGACAATGATAGGTATCCCTTCTACACTCTTGTCTCTTACAACGGCTCTACATGCCTCCTTGGACGTGGACGTTTTTACTAAATTCCATGGCTACCGGTAGTGAAACACCGCTGCTGTGTCAATGATGGTGATGACCAGATATGAACTGCGAGACAGCTCAGATGACGCTGACAGGCAGCGCTCGGTTGCGCATACAGTAACGTTCTTGTATTCTATTTATTGCTTGTAAGCACAGTCGCCCCTCATGCCAGAAAAGCGCATGCCGGTTGCCAGTGTGCAATTTTTTTTGGGTTATATGTTTGTTGCTTTCAACACACGGCCTTCTTTGTCCTATTCACCTGGTTCTCCATAAACGAAATGATGGTAGTTTCGCCACTTGCGAGCGGCTTATAGCTGTTGATGGTATTATACTGGTTCTGCGTGAAATAAACATAACTACATTTAAAGATAAAACAACAAACGACGATTTTTCTCATTCCCAGTTTTTTTAACCGTGGAATGAACGCATGATGGGGTACCCGACTAAAAATAAACTTGTGCAGGTTACCCGCTAAAGTTTTTTGTCTGCCCTTGACCAAATGTGACCAGTCTCGTCTGATTAGAGATATCTAACAATACCCGTAGAGCCCTTGTAGAGCCTTTTGATGAGTGGCGCACATTCAGTAAAATTGCACTCATTTCTGACCTAGTTTTGCCAGGTGCGTCAACCTGACACCTCTCCACAATTAATTCACCTGGTAGTGTCTCTTGTATTCAGTCATAATGAACTTTATTCGAATGCAAGTAGTGAATGGACAGTCTTAACATCAAGGCCTCTTCTGTTTTAGTGAGCAGTGGCAATCGAATACCATACTTGCAAAAGGTTGATTATCTGCGTTGGTTGTTATCTGTGTAGTGCCATTTGCACAGTAGTAGCAGTAGTAGTGGATCTATTAAGACAGCTGTTTAACTATGTTGACGTTGCACAGCTTTATCCGTACAGGAACTACGGAGCACACTGGGCTACGGGCCCGTTTGGCCCTGTGCTCGAGGCGACGTAGTGTTTGAAGTGCGAACTTACTGATCAAAAGATCCGTGGTTGAGACCTATATCTCCTCCCGTCTAGCCTCGGATCGCCTGGTAGTATATCAGCCCCAGTGTTTCCTAGGGATGGCGTGGCAGCTAGGCACTGAAAGGGTGTTACAGCTGAGGACCATTTATTTTTTCAAATTTTTGGTCCTGAGGACACAGTGACACTGGCCGGAAGTAATGACGTTGGTAAAAACTTATCCTCCTTGAGACTAATCTAACCCACCCCCTTTTACTACCTCATTACAGACATGGACTGTACATCGGGGTTTCTGTGTGAATTACGCACTTCCTAATGCCACTATCTTCAATACCACCTGATCGGCGGACAAATTCTTTTGTTTGTCTGCAGGAGGTGAGTATATTTTCGGTCTTAATTATTTTTGAGTCCCATTTGTATCATTAAGGTGAGTAGAATTGTCATCCTTACTTCGTAAATAAGTTAAATAGCCACTGTCAGTCCTTAGCACTGTAGACTGGCTTTCTTGCAAGACATGATGTAGTTTGAGGTTGAATTCGGTCAAAATTTTTCTTTGAAGGGCTTCATTTAAATCAGTCGACACGTCCGTACGTAGTGAAGAATCACTTCCCTGCTGTCGTACTTCAGCCTATTCATTTAGCTCCCTACTGGGTTCAACCCACTGGTTAACACGACCGCTTTCCGCACCCAAAACCAGTCCAGTAATAAGTTCGGTATTTCAGCTAAGCCGTTGATCTTTTTTTTAAAGTTGATGCACTTGATTCATAGATGTCCGGTTGTTATTTTGCATACACAGGAGCTCACTAATTCCAGAGAACGGTCCCGATCCCAAACCTATCCTACACCACATGATGTCGTTGGTGTTACGAGACCAACTCGCTTTCGTCGTTCCTCTTTCGCACTGAGTGGGGAGCGCCAAACAGCCCTTGACAATTTGGTTGACTCAGCTTCACGTGAAGCTACCATTGCTGCGGCTGCGCAGGAGGCAGCTGCTTTATCGGCACTCGTATCTCCGCATCCTGAATCTGCTATGCTGGCTTACGATGATGGCTTGGATTCGAAACGAGTCTCTGTTAGCACTATTGTAGCTGGCCAGTCTGGTTCATCCGCCGTGTTCCATTCAGCTGGCCCAGGTGATAAATCTGGCCGCCCGAGTGTACATTATCCCCCAGGACGAAAGGTTGCTGTTTGTGAACACCCGATAGAGAATGATGATTTGTTCCCATGGCATGATTCTGCTTGCCCCAATTCCAGCCTGTTGAATTCTGAGGTCATACAGAATTACCTGGCTACAGTAAGTGCAGTTTAAACCTGACGTGACTAAAGTCGTTGTGCTATTTCGATGTGACATTCGCTATATTTCTCTCCCCGAGTAAGTGGTTGGCCAAAGCTGTGAACTGTACACCCCGGGAAAAATCAGATGCGTCTGCTCTCAATAACTTCCACGGTTCGGCTTCTGAAAATCCATAAATTTTTAGCTGGTTGAAAAGAGAGGACACGTTCGGCCAAATACCGGGCGTGATAGTAACGGAATCATTCTTGTTGTTATTAGCCAATACAAAAGTCCTTCGTGATGGTTTCCTGCGAAGATATGCCAATTAAAAGAGACCATTCTTGCGTCCATATGGAGTTAAATGTTTTGTTTTCCATGACTTGATTCCACTGTAAGGAAAGCTGTGTACCAGACTGTCCATCAGAAAAATGCAGGATACCTACGTATTTCAGGGGCTGTGTGGCATATCTAAATGGCGAGGGGTTATCCCACTCAACAGTGATTTCCAAAACTTTTAACTACTGAGAAATGGTCCGAATATAGACCGGAACACTCTGCTGCTTAATGTCCTGACATTGCCTTCACATTGTAATGGGTTATATAAAGACTTCCTCTACACTGTACAGGAATTTCTCCGAAGGCCTTCCTACAAACAAGTTGCTTATGGTAGACTTATGGGGAGCCAGTTGTAGCGTCGTTATCAGTGGTGCTGCCTGTAGCATGGAGGGGATCTCTAAGGCACCGTCACTGGTACATTCTGCTGCTATGTTGGTGCAATGAAACCATTGTGAAATGGATGATGAGGACTCCCACTGGTAGTCAAAAACACTTGTAGGTATGAATTATAAACTTGGTGAGAGTTTGAAGTGGACAACGGAGATTTAATAAAATGGAGGCTGTCACTCACGATGTCGGTACTGAGCTTCTTCCGAAAACATTATACTCTAACGGTCTGGGTAGAGGTCTTTTCAGGGTGATCCTCTCTATAATTCTGTAAAAACTGGGTGACCACCAAAGGATGTCTTTTCGCTAGATTAGCTGGTCTAAGATGCTTTTTTCAAGTGGCTGATACTGATGCGGCGGTCCGATGGAGATTCTCAGCTCTCGGGGCTAAGCCAGCCTCCTTAGAGTGAGCCCTTTCCTCCTTGTGAAATCCCTTGTGAGGCTTTACTATATTATTTTTAGTTGGCCCTAATTTCTAATCCAGATCGTGCTCCCATCTCTCACAAATCAGACATGTAATGGTTTTTCGTTGACCGAGTGAACTAGAAACACTCAACAGTGACTATGGCTGGCACATAAACCTTGACACTGGAAAACTGTCAGAAATGGAGGGTGATTTATTTGGAGATAACAACACGTCAGGTCGTACTGTCTTGGACTCACCAACGCACATTCGTGACCTAACCCTTCTTCGTTGTCGTCATTGACAATAGACCAGTAAATTTTACTGGCCATGCAACTGTAGAGAAAGAACGAAAGGAAAAAGAAAGGCCTGGATCGTAGCTCCAGAAAGTTCCTGGAGTGAAAAATCAGGAATAAGATTTCCATACCTTTAGTCAGCGCTGAAGTAAGCGCATCTGAGCATCATTTCGAAGTAAGGCGTCATCTAAAAACTTGACACAACACCCTTTGCAAACTTCGCTCAACATTAACCCGGCGTGCAATAACAGGTGAGCTCTATCTTGGTAGTCTCTCTGTGCGTGTTCCAGAGGTAGGTTACTCATAGGGTCCCGCGAGGTTCGGAGCAATTGGAAGGTCCAAGTTTCGCAACCGTAAAGTGAGGTCGTCCTCTCAGCTCCCTTGACATACGACTCTTTGGCTTCAGTTTGCCTCGTTTCAGACACCATAAATATCACAAGTAGACGAATGTTCCTGGTACACAGCAATCACAGTTTGTTCGGTTCTCCCTTAACAAACTCAAGCCTCTTGTTCTGAGGTTCTAGAGAAACACAAGAGAATGAGGAGTCTTGCACTTCGAAGGTGTAGAGCTCACACCGGAGCACGGGTCACTTCGAATATTCGGTTTAGAGTAGCTTATACCTCGACTAACAAAGCCACGTCGTCCAGGTCCGTTAGCTCTTTAGCAGACGCGATTCCGCTACTTAGATTCATGGTTCCTTAGCATGTGCGCTGCTGAACAAAAAGCGAGCGGACAACCCCGATGAATTCCACTATTTTGGGGGAGCTTTTGGTTAGTTCATTGCAACCCGAACCTGGCCGGAGGTATAGCGACAAGCGGCATGAGGGATGCTAATAAACTTCGAGGTAGCGCTTCTCTAGCTTAGCATATAGTGTGTAGGACTACAATCTAGAGAGTCCGTTAATTTGTTCTAAAACCGTATCCACGCATCACACCATCTTATACCAGTTACCCATTAAGTGTATAAATTCATCTTCGAAGTATTTTACACTACTTGATGACATACTCTCACCTTGTGACGATAATGGCATCCATTTCGATGGTCCTGAAAGAACGATTTGGAATTGTGTACATTTCTGAACTCTAAGGTACACGTCGGAAAGTGCCTTGGAGATAAGCATGATACGGGTTACACTGAACCATATTATTTTCCATTTACTTGGGTAATTAGCAGAAAGTGTAGACCAAACGAGGGCGAGATGTGAGTCAACGTATGTTTTCTGGAATTACGGGCGGTCAACGATTGAGCGATGTTGACTAACGGCTGTGACCAGTTGGACTCCCGGTCGCTCATTGGCAGGGAGGCACCAGTATCACAACGACATGCACTGCGTCCAAACCCAGTGCTACTTAGGAGGACCCAATGGTTAATTTAAGGTTGCAAAAGGTGTTCGCCACTGAATGTGTCTCGTCCAGACTAAAGATACCACAAAATGTGCCTCTGACAAATGGAGGTTGTTGACTATACCTGAACTTTTAATAGCTGGTGGTCAGTTGTTAACGGGTATCTTCTGATGAATCAGAACTAAAGCTATTTGGCGCAAGTTCTCACCAAGTGGACAGCCGGACGATACAGAAAACTGTTTACAGGTACCCATTGGGGTAAGGAGGCCTCAGTCAGCGGACTGCTATTTTACCACTGGCGCCACCCGCTGCACCAACTGCCAGTTTCGTCCGTAATTCCAGTCACTAAACGTGCTTTGAGCTGAAATACTGTACCTGGATCTCGTGCTGGAGTTTCAGACGTGCAACAAATTTCTCTGGATAAAGTGCGCGTAAAAGCACTTGCTGCCCATTTTGCTTCAGATTTCGTACGTTAGAGGTTACAGTACAATCAGGTACAGATCGCTCTTAGTGGTAGGCATGGATCAGTGTATGTGAGTGGTGGCTTGTGATTGCCAATTATTTGGCGTAACTTTGACCGGGATGTATAGAAGAATGATTAACAAATGGGGAAAGTGGCCCAATAGATAACAATAAAAAAGGGTGGCGCCAATGGGTTGCAAATGTCTGCGACCCCGGAACGCAGTTGCCTGCTCTGAGATGAGGGAATGTGATGTATCTGTCGATATGTCATCCATACAATTGACAAAAAGCAGACAAATTCACGGGACATCAGTAAAATCTCTCCGAATTCAGTGTCTAGCACCGTTTCGTTATTTAGAGGCTGCAGGTATTTAACTCCTGCTCTGCTATGATGACATCGGTGATCAACTACTTGAAGATGTTTGAAGTCTTCATATCTGAGAGGCCTGGTTCCACAGCCATAAGAAAGTGAGACCGTTCTCACCGGCGTTTCGTAGACGTAATGTAGACGTGACGGCGATATTCGTTGGTGGCGTGATATTCGACGCCAGTTTGCAAATTTTAATGGCACATTGGTACTGCGTGCACTGACCTCATTTGTCACAGCACAGTCACAGCCTATGCAGCTGCCAAGGTAATTAAGCCTATAGAAAATTGCATACTATGATTTCTGGAGTTTCGCAAGGTCATATGGGAGTGGGAAATTTTGAGGTAGGGCTGTGCTTTGAAGGTGCGTGCCCAAAACGGGAGTCTACTTGCGACATTTAATTTAGAGTAGGTTGTGCGGACGTATGGTCTTCCAATAGCAGGACGATGTCATCCGTGTAATCTGCGTCCGGCAGTCCTTATGTGGTTTCAACGCCCAGGTCCATCCGCGTAGTTCAGTTAAACGGACAACTACCCATCGTTCCACTGTAGCTGGATAGTTGGGCGCCCTGATTTCATATGACGCATGCATGCAGCATGCGTTCTGGGTTGTGACATCAAATTTAGACGTTTGCCTTTTGCTTATCGGATGGATAACCACTCGTCAGCATTTTTCGTTCGCAACCAGGTACGGATAATATTAATGGTAATTAAGCGCTAGTATATACTACATATGCATTGCCGTCGAGGATGATGATGATGGTAGTCTAGATTAACGTCCTTTCAAGATGGCTCCAGTTTTCCATTTTCTCTGGTTTATTCAGCTTATGATTGACAATGATGTAGAAGAATGTGAGAAGCCTCCTAAACTTTCAACGGTCCCGGTGGCATGTGAAAATGTTCCGGGCCTATTCCGGGAATCGGTGGCTTCCATGACAATGCCCGTTCATCAAATTCGACGGGCCCATTGGAGTGCTGCTATTCCACGGCGTGTAACTGAGCCACCCCGCTGTAACAGACCAGTAAAGTCAATGCGTTATGATCTACCGCACTTTCCTACGGACTTCACATCCTCAAGTTGTGCAAGTGATGCAGAGGGATGGCCCTCCGTTCGGGGCTATATGTCTGATAATCCGATCGATGAAGCGGACCCACATGCAAAGCAACTCCGGCTAACGGGACAACGTCTGGAGGCGGACTTTCACCGGACGAAATCTCTTCCTCGATCACCAAAAACGAAACGAACATTACCTAGTACGTTTCCTTTTCGACATTCATTCCATTATGGGCACTGTTTTTGCGTCTGTTGGGTTAATTAATGGTTTCCAACGAACTGCTCGCATGTTTACACACAATAATCACGTACAAGGACCCTCGTTTGATAAAGACACATTAATTCAACCGTTTCCTCAACCTAACCTGCAGAACAACTGAAGCGACAACACAGGCCGATGCCTCGTCAGCTACAAAACTCTGGCTGCTCACTGGTAATCAGACTATCTTACTGGTTGTACTCAAAATCTCGCTTTGTGATTCATATTCAGTGGGGTCCTTAATTCTGCGAATGAGGCCAACCTGCGTTGAAAAGCCAAAAGGCACCGTGCAGATAGTTTACTCTTATTGGAAGACAGTGCGCATCTAACGAATCCCCGGATTGATTTGAACTCTCGATCTTTAGGTTAGTAGTTCTATCCTGTGCCTTGGGCCGCGAGTGTCTAACTGGCAGTGTTTGCTAGATAAGATGTAGCGCCAGTATCCTTCAGTCGTCCAGTTCACGACGCGTGACTCGGTATGCGTTGGCTCTTCAAGTAAAAACTGAGATGGAAAACCGATACGATTTGCGGTACCTTCTGAGCGGATCATTTATGATAGGCCTTCCTGAAAGTGAACCTTACCGTGGTGTGACTCAGTAACCCATTTAGTTATACTGGAGGATCTCCATTCGAAATCCACACTCTCCTGGCCGTGAAACGAGTGTGGCAATTTTTTTCTCAAAATTTGTGTTGCTCGAATAGTTCTGAAGTGAACCACCGTTGCCTTGCGATCAGGATTTCGAGCTAGAGCCTTTGATTCAGGACCCTAATATCGATTATGATGATGGTGATGACTAGTCACTCTGTCTAGGTTTGGACCTGACAGTAGTTCAGCCCAGCCATAAACCACATAGTACAAAGTACCGTCATGCCACATCACCCTCACTTGATGACATCAGCCGGGTTGCCTTATTCTCTTCATAGGTAGACGAAAATGTGCGAATGGTGACTCTTCCCGTCTCTCTTCAGGGAGATCTCCTAACTCCCATTCTGTTCCATTTGGCAATCACTCTTATGTAGACACCAGCTGTAGGCATTTCACTCAGCCACTTTGCAGGCCACTGCTCATATCTGCCGCCCCGTTCTCCAGACCCTAATGTGACCTACTAGGCAGGTCGGCCAACAACCCGCTTTTGGGCGTACACTGGGTACTACATCAGTTGACATCTGTTACATCCCTGGAACGAATACAGGATTCAAGTACAGCTGTTGAGCTTACGGAACCCGCTCTACCTAGACGCCACAGATTACGGATTTTGAACGATGCTGCCACTGCTTTAGCGGATTACACTGGTGTTGTTATAAACCTTGGCGAGCTGAGGCTTCATCACTCGACTGGATACATGCGGTTCAGTGAACTGAGCAGAGAACTAACCATCGCGAAGTGCTCGAAGGTATTCGTAGTAGCAGGAGAGTTCCTCAGTTCACCTTGGTGGTACGTTTGGTCTTAATGCAAAACACAATGATAATGGAGGTCTTTTACAACCCTGTGCTGATCACCGCCTGTTTCTCAGCAATTTGGACGCAGTGAACGTCTGTGTGCTACCTAGTGCACCACTCATCATCATAATTATCGACAGCACTATATAAGCGTTCAAACACTGACGCTTCGCTTCTTGCAACCACTATTTGTTTGAAAACCTTACAGTGAGCAAGAGAATAAAAGTGGATGGGGAAGAGTCCTATCTAGCTTACCACAGTCATCCCGAGGTGCCTACACCTTCAGACACCCTTACTACTGAGTAGTCTTGGAGTCCACTTACTTTGTCATCAGCTACCGATGGCATGGCTCAATCCTTGATTACCGATCGTCTTGGACTACACAGGTTTATTTGTGGAGACTTTCACCAAGTTTTTCCGAAAGACCCCGGAAACGAGCTCCTCATTTAGCAAAAGCAGAACCTCGTGAGCCATAAGCTGTGGAACCATACCGAATCTAGGTGTGTAATGCATTCCAAGGAAATTGACCTTAACTGGAGTGAGACAGCCACGGCGCTGGGAATTCTGCTTCTGGTGTTTACACGAAACACCTGGATTTAAGAATGGCCATTGTCACTCCTTATGCCAGGCACTCTATCCTCTCAGATTCAGATCACCGTTCAGCCGCATCTCGACTTCCTCTGTCTAGGCTTGAGCAACCTGGCAGTATGCCAGCCCTCGCGCTTTCTTCCGGTAGTATGGCCGCTAGGCACCGAGAGGGTGCTACAGCTGAACGGTTCAGCTGGACGATTAATTAGACAATCGCTCAGACGTAGCCTGTGTGTGGCAGGACCGGATATTTTGAGAAATGCAGAAGGCCAATGAAGCTGGTGATGTAGCTTATCTGCAAACCAAGACTTAAAGTGTATCTGTGAGTGATTTAGTGGAAAATAGTGCTAGAAATCTAATGTATTATAAACATCGACACCTAGTTCGTTGGGTAGAATATTTTCAACAACACTTCAGTTAGCCCTGTGCCTACGTCTTTTATTCGACCCGCTCATTTCGAGCCATGTTCTGTCAGATTAGCTTCCGCAGTTGAGGTATAATGTTCCTCTCCGCACAGAAGCGCTATCGGGCTGGTGGACCAGATGAGCTTTTCTCAGCGTTGTTCAAAGGCTGAGAATCTTTGTGTTTTGTTTTGACTAGGTTGACTAGGTTCACACGTATTTTGGAAAAAGCTTGTTCCGGAGACTCGGGGCTAATTGTTCGTCCTACGGTGTTCAAAAAAGACACCCGGACGAACCGTTGATTAGCAGAATGATGAGTTGTTCAACTACTAGCCAAATGGTCGTGCGTTTGAATCTCGTGAGTTTCACTCTGTTCATGATCCCCAACAAGAATCAAACAGCTACACAATGACCCAATTTTTTTTTAACATGTTGGCCTTAGAGTTTGAAGGCCGTAGCAAAATCTGAAAGTCTCCCCACTGCCCACAAACGAATTTGACTTCACTGGTTAAGTTCAATAGTCGGCGGACACCTGTTTCTGAGGTTGGAACCGTAACTTTTACAATTGATACCCGTGTTGCAATGGTTGGCTTTACTTAAGATCCCCGTAGATTTTAAATTTCTCCATAGAGGTCCACATTTGTGTTGCTGAATGCTCCTCTCGTTTTCTTCCGTTTCAGATAAGTATGCGAGCATTGCGGAAGCTCTGGTTGGTTATGGTAGCGCCCCAACGTCCCACGTATCGAACTTTGATCTTTCACATGTCTACGATGGTTTGCCATCACCAAAAGCTGTTCTATCCACAAACAGCCTCAACTTCGAAACTTTCCGTTCCACGTTAACACCACCATCTACACCCGCATCCTCTCGGAGTGCTAGTTCCATGGACCCCGATTCTGGTGGAAGCATGAACAATAGTTTTGGTCGGATTATTTCCTTATTTGGCCCATTCAAGCCCAAACCAGCGAACGACAACCCTGAGAGTTATATCTATATGGACGAGGAAACTTCAGAACGGCGCGCCAGAGCACTGGCTTCAAACCTGATTTCTCCCGTTTCTTTCTAGTGACGATCGCCTTCTTTGTTTATCACGAGTTTGTGATCGTTATTTTCTCTCTTTTGAGTTCACTTAGCTGAATCGCTGTCCTTACTCCGCGCACGTCATTTTTACACGCGCGTCCACATTTTTTGTCGGATAACACTAGCAGCCTCAGGTCACACCACTTGCTTGTAGATCCATTTTCCTATCTACAACTCCTTCCCTACCCCTCTGTATCTTTCGTCCTTAACTGTATAATATTTCTCCGATAAGTTTGCGCCAACTTTCGTCATCCACCGCGGTACTTATATGTCAATTAACGTTATTTTACTGGTTTTCTGCGTTGTTGTCCTCTTGTCTTGGAATTTCCGATGTCCTGTGTTTTCTTCTATTACCCAACTCCTCTCACTGCATCTGGGTGTACTGAAGTCGGATTTCTTCTTTTGTAACGTTTCCCAAGATAACTGGGTGTTTCCCACCACTCAAACTGATCTGGACTCTTCTCAAAATAACCTCATAGTTATAACAGAGACATAAACGATCTTATCATACAAGAAAGTCTTATGAAAACGAAGGATGTCTGTTACTGGACCGTTTTGCCGTTCAGGACACCGCGGTACTACACGCTCATTCAAGGATCACGTGATAACTTCAATTCGCTATCGGTCACACCACAAGATTGTGCTGAATGGTGCTGTCACATGATCTAGGTCAGTCGCTTATGGATCCGTTTAGCTAAGCTGTATCCTCCACAGGTGTTATGATCGGTGACTGGTAGGACAAGCCAAATATTTTTTGGGACGTACACCAACTGTGACCTTGTCGTTAGGACAAATTTTAATGATTAAGACATTTTTGGCACCCGTGTACACGAGTCTGCTCCTACTTCAAGTATGGTGATGGTGCTTCATTAACATATTACCCGTCAGTACAACCGCCGGAATGTCTTATGTAAACCATTTGGTGTAAAGTTTTCCCTCGGTCTGGAAAGCCTGTCGAAGGAGGAGAAACTAGAAGTTTCACTTTGCACCATAAAACTGGTCTTGACGCACCTTTGGGAATCAATGTGGCATAGCCAGATATTTGGGCAAACTCCTGTATGGATTCTTGACATGTGACAAGCATAAACGATGTTTGGGAGTGTCTGTTCTCAAGAAACGGTAGTCCACGTTGCTACCACGGCCTCTTTGAGATCCGGGGCCGGCAACCGTGGAGGCGATCTCATCATCTGTACCAACGGCTCCCTTGTCGAGTCACCGTTCTAATGGGCTGCGACGCGCCATAGGCTTAGGTTGCGGTTATTTGCGAGCAGGTATGCAATCAGAACAGACAGGTGGATTATGAAGGTCATCATCCAGCGCCCTGTTGTAGTGCAGGCGGGCTTTCCACGAATGTCCATTTTATATAGGCATATGTTTTCGGACGTCGCACGTATGTTTGTGCTGTCACATGGTTTGTCGTCTTCCTGTCCAGCTTGGATTCGATCATGTGGCTTGAAAGCTGCATTCCGACGTGGTCAAACGTTGTCGTATCACTGACATGTTTGTTCGGGAAGTGAAAGCATTTACGGTGGTATCATGCACACCTCAAGCTTCTGGTGCTACTCTGGCTGGTATCTGCTGCGTGGTCAGACGCTCGGAAGTAGAAATTGTCCGTGGACGATAACGACTGTCCTTTGGGTAGTGGTCGTAGTTGAGTGCCTGTAAGGAGGATTGCAGTGCCACGCTACCTCTTCAGTATACTGTTATCACAAGTTAAATTTTATGCTTTGTTACTTCGTACGGTTGGTAGAAGTTAGCCTCCCCTCCTATCAGTTAGGTCTGACTTGGCCTAGACGTTTTGGTATTTTGAAGAAAATATGTAGTGGCGTGTTACTAGTAAACGCTCTTACTTCAAACAGGTACATTTCGTCTCAAGCAGATACTGTTGAATGCATAGTCCAAGTTGTTTTCTGGAGAGGCATTAGCTGAACGCCGATGTACTTTTCCCGTGTCTGCTCACAAAACCAGACAAACTTGAGACGTTTGTCTTTGAGTTTGGCTTCAAGTTAACCGAAGCCAGCACTTCTCTGTGGAAGACGCAATATTATTTTTCGGTTTCCGATGCTCCCAAGAAGGCTCAGTTGACTTTTGCGGTTATTAGTGAGGAATTCCTCATGCAGAATTCAGAATGTAACCGTCCCGTTACTGGAAGCTCAGTTGATGTATTGGACGAGATGCTAGTCTTTCGCCAAATGAAACATTATCGGCTGTCACCACGGGGGAGAAATGGGT